TCAGAGGTAATAGAGAGATTAAGCATGACGTTTACGGCAAACAGCAAACGGCAAAAATGAAACTTTTGCCGTCTCTCTTCAGCTGTGTGTACAGTAGAGTGAAGTTATTTGTATTTGCAATGAATGGTAGGAGACGTTATTCCATGTTTGTGTGCTTTATTTACGGTTAGAAGAAAAGAACTCAAAATCAGAAGTTGCTTTTGCCGTTTGCCGTTAACGTCATGCTTAACCTCTCCAATCTTTGCCGTTTGCCGTCTGCTATAAACGTCATGCTTAAACTCTCTAAATTCTCCGTAAACCACCAGATAAATGTGAATGTACCCGCAAACCGGCACCCAAAATTTACTTACACCGCCAAACCGCCAGAGTATAATAGACCCTCTTAAAAACGTGTAAAGATCGAAGCGCTACAGGTAAGGTTATAAAACTCTATTTTAGCTTTTCAAAGGAAAAACAGAGATAGTTTTCAGAGTTGTCGATGATATCCATGCAAACTCCTAAATACCTCCATACAGACTCTCATATGGCACGCTTTGGTTACCTGGATTCTTTGCTATAAGAGCTGACTTGAATTTGCATAATTTTTCAATTCACACTAACTTTACCAGTTCGTAGAGCGTACGTGAAAAATACAGTGCTGCAAAACGGTCGAACATTTCAAATTTCATTTGAATGGTTACATTATTCAGAGGACTTGTTTCAAATCTTGTATTCCAAATTCATAGACAACGTAATATTAGATTTATAAAACCATTGTGGATCGATTTGTCTGTTTAAACAATGAGGAAGTCTTCTGGTCATGCTGAGCAATTTGAAAGAAAAGATGTTTTATACAATTCCAGGTGATTATCATGGGCAGCCAGGCAGCATCCACACTGCTTCACAAATGTCACCACTTGAGGGTACTTTACTGTCTTAGTTAAAAACTACATGTATGAAATAGCATCAGAGAACAAAATGTGTCATTTTAATTTATAAATCTTTGTTGAAGTATTCTTAAAAAACTCCCGGGGGGTGGTCCAAGAGAAATTGAGTGGGGGTGTGCGGCCCGCTTCCCAAAACCCTTACCCTATTTATGACCTGACCAAAAATTTGATACCCTATTTATGACCCGATCCTAAATCAATTACCCTGTTTCAGACCTGCCTTATACTTAGTTGCCGAGTTCAGACTGATTTTAAAGGCATCATGAAGGGCTTTTGTTCATCGATCTTATCGATATCATGATGATGAAAAAGTAGCTTTTTCTAAAAAACATACCCAATTCAAGACTAGAGTGCGAAAACCATGCCCTATTTATGGCCAAAAT